TCGGTGCAGTAGGCAATTTGAATCGTATTTGCCACATTTTAAGTTTAGTTTACAATACTATAGTGACCCAATAAGAATCAGAGAACTATTATCAACATTCAACAGAGAGCTCATGAGTACGTTCGTCAACTGATAAGGGACACCTTATACACCCTCCCTTACCACCCATCTCTCTACCCACATAAACCTTATCTAATCGTCCACATTTTCCCCATGCGACCCAAAACAAAACAAAACCAGAATACTGAGCAACTTCTGGATGTATGTCGTGCAACTGAAATTGCAGGTGTGACTGTTGCAGGTGATGCACACAGAAAAAAACATTAAATTTTTGTGTTGCCGATTTCTGTATAAAAAAAAAATTTAAAACTATTTTATGGTGAAAATAAATTATTTTTAATTTTGTTATTTGATAAAGTTTAATAAAAAATGTATTTTTGAAAAGACCGTATTTTAGGTTTCACAGTGTGTATCTTATCTGTAGCCCGAATCGTGACCCAAATCAAAGCCAACTGCATTGAGCACAAATAAAAAGAAGCAATGAAAATGTGTAATAGCCAAACAAACCTGACACAATTCTCCGAGTCTAACTAGAAAGAGAGAGCGGGAATATGGATAAGCTGAGTAAATCAAGCGAGGTTCTATTCACGTCAAATTAGTCGATTACTGTTTTTCTACGCGAGCTGAATGAGTAACCTGCAAGGCTTATGAATCACCAACGAACACAGAATAAATAATATTCGTTTGAAAATAAAGGAAAATAATAATTGCAATTATCAACGCAATTGTACGCTGGCATATAAAATGCTTAACTCTAAAAATAAATGGATTGAGCTGCGGTTTTTAAAAACGGGAAGTCACTCATAAGCAGGGAATCACAACGGGACGTGCTGATAACTATGAAAATTAAGGGCACATAACTTGTAAGTCACTCGTTTAAATCCCCAAAGTCCCTGAGTCACCGTAATTGTTTAAAAAATTTTAAAAATATTTAAAAAAGCAATAAACTTATTAAATGAATTTCCTTTAAGGGCTTTAAAACTATCTTAAATTTGAGTCTGTGATCACAAAGCACCTTTACAGCAACCTTTCTACAACCCCTTTCCGGGGATATTTAAACAATTTTGGCTTCCCTTATTTCGGCCACGTCTTCACGCTCTTGGTACGTGCCCATAAAGACAATTCAGTGCCTCCAAATCGATCAAAAGTTCGCTTCATTGTGCTCGAGACTCACACACTTGTTTGCAGTTGCAGCCCGAAAAACAGCAGAGGAAAACGGGAAACTTTTCCATAAGCTGTGCAACTTTTTCCCGGCTTTCCCGCTTGCCTTTCTTTATTGTCTTTTCAACTGTTTTGTCGTGCGGCAGAGGAGCAGAATAAATAGGGTAGATCCCCATTATATTTAATTTGCCTGGCATACGCTTTGTCAATATCGCACTTCTCCCATCTCTTTTTGGCCCGAAAATTCCAGCGTGGCCCAAAGCGTTGCCAACTTCCTGGGCACGCACACACGCCCATGAAAAGACAGACAAACACAGAGATAAACGCACATATATATGTACATATACAAAGGATGCATGCAAAGAGTTGTTGTTGACATTGTTCAGTCATTTTTCAGCAAATTAGTCATGAAATTGGGCATTTCTATTTGTCTCTCGCCCCAAATTGCAAATTTGTAAATAAAAATGGCTCGCCAGCGATATATAAGTGTGAATGTGAAAATTGCCGAGAATCGAATTGAAAATTGATACAGCGAATTTCAGGAAACAAATCAATTCACTTGAAAAGCGATAAATTCGGACGATTTTGGACAGTTTGGGTTTAAACTTGGCTTAAAACGTATAATATTTAACAAAAGTGCGTAGAAAGAAAATATATATACAATATATATTTTATTTATCAGCAGAATGCAATTGGTTTATAAACAGAAACAATATATCGATTATGTGCAAATTTATTTGCAAATAATAAATAAATAAATACCACATTGAAAGCATACCAACAAGATTGTTATTATCTCGAGCTAACAATACATCAACAATTACAAGAAAACTTTTTAAAATGCTCATCCATTAATCAAAGATTGATTAGAGAGAATTACAATCCAAGCAAACAATTAAAAAGCCGAAGAAAAGCATTCGAAAGAAGCCCGTTAGCCATTCACCGCCTTTTCCGTCCTCACCTTGAAACGGAGGAAAACTCCCGCTTTTCATTAAGGGAATACCTTTCGAAAAACTAAGGCCCCCAGCGCGATAAAGCTTTTGTGTCCTTTGGCCAGTCTTTTTTGCAACGTTTCAGTTACTGCAAAATTTTCAGTTGGTCGCTCGGACGCTTTTTTGTTGACCAGGTAGCAAAGCAAAAAGCCAAAATGAAACGATGTTATGAATATGAATGAGAGACCGAGGAGCTTGCCCTTCTCTGCGATTCCCATTGCAATTACCATAGGTAGAAAAAGAGTTGAAAATTATGTATGTCATGGGTGGGGTGGGTTGGATTGGATTGCCAAAAAAGGGAGCTATAGATGCAGTCACAGTTTGCAGTAACAGTCACTGGCCGAGTCACATTTAGAAGCGGCAAACTAGCCAAACGCTGCACGTATTTAATTCAATGCCTGGACCTTTTTTGCTACCATACCAGCTGGCATATATATATATACAAATATAGCATAGAACATGCCTCAATTGGTGGCCATTAAAATGCATAAATGCTGAACCGCTTTTTGTTCGCCCCTAGATGAGGCAGTCATAACTAAATACGTCACGACTGCAGTTCCTTTTGGCCATTTGAATTACTGTGAATGGTTTTTGGATGCAATGCCTTATTTACATGCTGCACATGTTGCAGCTCATGTCTCCTTCGACCCTTTTTTATATCCCTGCACAAAGAGTATCCATAAAATTGAATGGGAAGTTTGCTACGGAAATTGTGGGTGATTTTTATGTGAATTTCGCTGGGGCAAAATATATACATAAATTGTGGTGAAAGTGGAGTGCCCCAAATATACATACATAGTTTAATTGTAGCTCAAAACGGGAATGCTTTTTTTAGAAATTAAATTTCAAATTTAAATTTGTATGTAATAACAAAAAATATTTTTTTAAAACGGGTAATAATTTGTATTATTTGTCTTTACGTAAAACAATAGTCGATATAAAATTTTAATTATATTTCCCTTAAGGTAACTTCCGTAATAAAAGTTTTCCTACGCAAAAATAACAAAAATAAAATATATAATCTCGGTTTTCAGTCCCTTTCATTTCATTTTTTTGTACATTTTTAAGTGTATCCCTTGGATCGGCTAGTTGAATTTCCGGCCCATTCCCATCTGAAAAAAGGGTCCAGGATCCCATGGCCGGGGCTGCATTAAACATTTATAATTGCAAGACAACAGCCAGCCGACAGTCAACTGATGCGATGTCTGCGATGCGTCAGTCCTATAAAAATGTAAAAGTATTCAGTGTGAAGTGCCAAAGCCCTGGTAGAAAAAGACGGCAACTGGCCGGCGGAGAGAGATAGGGAGAAAAGCTGAACCTGCAGTGGATTCCCTGCTTTATTTTGGTTTTTTGTGTGCAGTTTTTGCATTTACATTTTCGTAAACCTTTGAAAGGTTGCAGCAGGGCGGGCTTAGCGACTGAATAAAATGCTGCTGTCTTAAAGTCACGTCATGTGGGTGGTGCCACGGGGGGTGGGGGTGGGATGGTCTTCTCTATGGGGAGGTTCCAGCAGGAGGGGCTGTTGAAACTGCCGAGGGGTTGTGGCAGTAATGAGACAGCTGCAAAAGCAACAGCTTCATGTGCCGTGTGTTGTGTTAATGTTGTTAGGCTTTAGCATAAACCAGCATCTTCTTTTCAGCTAATGAGAAATCTGTCTCAGTTTCCCCAGCCAGCTCTCCATATATCGTTCTCCCTCTTCACGGACGTAATAAGAGGGTACAAAATAATAAGAGCGGGCTGAAACATTGAAGGATTTTAATTAAATAGAACCGACAGCGTTTTTTGGGCCTGGATGATGATAGCATAAAATTTGTATCCGCATTCGGATGTACGTGGCACAAAGAGATGAAAGTAATGCTCAAGTGGATGCTGATGTTGTCTCTTAATGTCAAGGATGCGTGCTAACACAAGTAGCGTTGTTTAAAATATATATATTAAAAGGGGAGCTGACTGAGGACTAATTACAGTCAAGGAAATTAGAAAACCTATTGCATTTTAAAGCGTCTTCAAAAATTTAAAACAAAAAAAAAGATAATAAAAAAAAACAAGTTATGAACTTGCACAGAGCCAAACTATAAAACAGCCTAATACCCTCATAAAATCAATCAAACTTTTTATGGCACTCAAAGCTATTAAGCCCCAACACACATGTATAAACACAGATCATAATAAAAATCGACTAAAACAGCTACCAATACAAGTAATTACCACCCGTGAATCATCTGCTAGCTAAGATCTTCGGGACATGGCTGATTCCGTTCGAATCACTTCAGTAGATGCTGAGTTACCAAAGTGTGGTTGACCTTTTCGACCCGTGTTGGCGCATGGCAAATGCCAACTGTATCCAAAACGAGAAAGGTCACACTTGACGCGGACACAGATTGAACACAGCTTCAGTCACACTCTGAGCATGCGCAGTTGCGATTATGGGCCAAACGGGGTCAACCGCCAAAAAGATGGATAACTATCAATTTCATGGATATCGGGACTGGAAACTTTTCACTCAATCATCACTTTCATATATCCAACACTTTCCACCGCCCCGCGGGTAAATGTCGTGTCTCATCAATCAAGTTTACCGCTCAACTATTATATTATCATTCAGCTGGGAGGTGAGAACACGTTTTAGGGGCATCTTTTTATTTATATAGATATATTTACGTCTTTTTATCCGAGAGTAAGCTAAGCTTTTTCACACATTTGCGCGGGTCTTAAACGAGCGCGTGATATCATCTCATGAGCGGGTCTTTGGCTTTACTTTTTCTCTTAGCTGTTGTTTATTCTTACCTGTTAAGATGGCTGCGAGACATATAAAAACGATCCGTGACATGATTTCGCTGCTGACTTCCTTTGGCTTCCTTTATTTTTTTACTTCTGTGCTTGTGTGTGTGTGCGATAATCCCGGGTTTATTTTTTTGGAGTTTCCTTATGTGCGTATTTTTTTTGTTGATGTCACTCCGGCGTTAGGTTGCACTTGCTTCAGCTTTTCATGCATAAAATATACAGCCAAGTACTTTTCGGTGGCACTTTACAGCCGCTGAGGCTCTGGTTTATATTTTTTTCGGTGATGTGTGTGTGTGTGTTTGTTTTGGGGTGTGCAGTGTATGTTGTCGATGGTATTATGAATTTTTTCAATGGATATATCCGATCGCCAGAGTTGTGCTAATCAAAGGTTATGCCACAGTAATAAACACACACGGTCGCGCTGTGGGCCAAATGCCTTTGGCTGTGATAGTGCTCAATGGCCGGCTAACGCACACGATTCCGACCCGAATCGAATCGAATAGAATCACGAAAGACCGAAATGCCGCAATGCCGAACCCAAAGAAGCCGAACGACCGATTTGCCCACGCAATCCAGGAGCGACAGAGAGCGACTGATATGAGCAACAGTTACCAAACGACTGAGTCCGCTCCGTGTTTATAAAGTTGCCAACCGCCCGTGGAACATGGACAGCGCTGCGGCAGCGACGCCGGCGCAGGCAGCGGCTGCTGCTGCGGCAGCGAACTCATGCGAACACCCGGCGTATGCGTTTTTACATATGCAGTCGCCGTCGACTGCGCTGCCCGGGTGTTGCATGTTGCCGCCGTGTGTTGCTGCTGCCCGTCGTATTGCCGCTGCTGTCGGATGTTGCTGCTGCATGTTGCTGCTGTCGCTGGCTACATGCGCGACGAGCTAGCAGCATTGCATGTTGCTGGGGGCGACTCGGTGTTGCTGGCGTGCATGTTGTTCCAGTTTTGCTCTGCAGCGACTTTATATGCGGGGTACTCATAAATTACAGGGGTATATCGGCTGACAAAAGAGTCCGCTACACTGAAGAAAATTAGGGAAAACTAGAATTTAAAATATACTTGTCATAAATTGTATAAAAAAGCTCTTTGCTGCGCGACGTCATATAAAATTACTTATATAATTTTACTTATACTTATAACGTATAGAATAGTATATAGTAACGTCCATAATTCGATCTAGATTATTTTTTAAATTTTATACTTTGCATTTTGTTTAAAACTATTTCTTAGGAATCACGTGTGACTCATCATACTCTATTTATTTATGGAATGTTTTAAATGACTAACGTTTTTTTATTTAAAAATGTTTCCCTTGATTATGTTGCCTAAAAGTTAATCAATACGTAACGAGTCTGATATATATATTTTTAAAAAAAATATATTTTTGGTTCTATAAAGTGAATATTTCTTTAAAAAGAATGGAAATATTTAACAATTAAATCAGAACGTCGATTAAGTTCCAAATCGAAGTTGTTCTTTGTGTCACTTTATATTTTGTGAGAATCTAATTAGTCTAAATTAGGCAAATCAATAAATAGAAATAAAAGCAGCACAGAAAAATATTTGCGAGTAGGAAAAACAAGTGGACAAAGAAAATAAAGTAGGCCATTACAGCACCGGGTATCACTTAGTTCTAACCATGAATATTCCTCGCTGTCGCCGTTATTGTTGTTTAGTTTGATTTGAATTTGTTTGGCTCTTGTGTATTGCAGTTGTAGTTTTCGCTCTTGTTGTTATTGCTGCTGCTCTGTGTTGCTGCTGCTGCTGTTGTTGTTGATTTGGCCAAGTTTGCTTTCAGGCTGTCGCCGATGCTGCTGCAACTGCCGGATTTCTGTCTATTTGTCGTTTGATAATCTACCCCCTTGCCAGCCGCCTCCTGGATTTCCCTTTCCCCAGCCTGTACCAGCTTTTGTTTGCCTGTCGTGTTGTCGAATGGCACACATACAAATTCCGTCCGAGAGCGCATCTTTGGCACAGTGGCTCCTCGTTCTGGTTGCTGATTCCCAGATTCCCGGTCTCTGCCGCAAATATTTAAGGCTGCCCGCTGTGTTTGCCATTGTCCCAGATCTCCAGCACCGCCCAAAATGGGTCTCTGACCCGACCCACTATGATTAGAATGATGTAAGCGAAATGTTCGATTTATGGCGAAAACAGTAAACATACAGAATAAGTCAATAAGTCGATTTCAATTTATTTTATTATAATTCCATTAAATATAAATGTCTGAGAATCAAGACATAGAGGTAATAAAGTTTAGAATTCTAAAAACATTTAAATAATTAAATAAATAACTTCCAGAAATTGGAGTCATAAGCTACTGTTTTATTGTTATTGTTCGTGTATCTTTACTGTACCGGTGGCTCCCCAAAATGTCACTTCTCCGGATAACTATCAATTGGGGAATATTTAAAGTGACCCGTATGTATTTCCACACCCTCACCCTGTTCGATCTTTCGATTCATTACCCCGTAATGTATTTACTTCTGCATTATTACACTTGCCTCCCTGCAGTCCCCCGGCCCCTCAAAAACCAGGCAGCAAATAGTATTATCAAACATTTTAAATTTAATCAAAGCACACACATTCAATAAGCTTTGGACCAAATTTTGGCTATGAAAAGGTAGACCATGAAAAGTGCACAGAAATTGAATGCTCTACTTGAAGCAATTGGATCGTGAGAAATAATATTAGAAATTTTGATAACGGTTAAAATGTTAATAAAATTTCTTTTAATTTATGTATTCGATTTTAAGTTCTTATTTCATGTTTGTTGTGATCCTCGTTAAAACATTGAACTTCTAAATTTTGACCCATACATAGTTCTTAGCTGATGGAAGTCAAACAAATAATTTATTTTCCTTAGAGAATTCGTATTTGGTGTACCACACCTTTTCTTCGGAGAAGAACATTTTTTTATTAGTTTTGAGTTTAGCATGCAATAAAAATATCGCATGCAATAAAGTACGTGTGTTCAGGGTGCAGAGCACTGGAAATTGTAAATTCCTGTTATGTGCTCGTGTCCATGGGCGGCTTTATTGGGGGATGGGACGATATGATAACCAGGAGGGGGAAGCCAAGCTGCTGAGAGCAGACAGCATGTGTTTATTGCCAGCACAAAATGATGATTATACGTAATGTGTAATGGTCAGAAGGGCGAAAAGGAGGCGGGGCGGGGGTGTAGCTTTTCAGTAGCTCTGAGTGCGGCGTGTAAAGCCCCGGAAAAGCAGCCGGAATAGCATCAAGCAGACGGCAAAAACAAACAGGCGTTGGCGTCCCTCGGCCTGCCAGTGGCATCTCCTTGGTTTTGCCATTTTCCTGCTCCTGCTGCTCCAGAAACACCTCCACCCCCGCCTACTTCCCGCCGCTTTGCCCATTTGCAGCTCCTCAGTTTTTCCTCCATCGCTTGGGCAACTCTATTTTCCATATGTGCTGGCTGCATCAACAACAGCAATGGCCCACAGCAGCCAGCAACATACTTAGACCATTTTTGAGGCTTGCTTTCAATTTTTGTTTTGCATGCATTTTACTCTGTTGAGTTCGAGTTCTTCAATTTTGGCATAGCTTAAAAGGCAATTTAAGGGTGATTTTCTGGCACCATCAAACCATTTTTATCAAACTGTTTTTAAATTCTGAAGACTTTAAAATTGACTCTTGAAAATTTCTTTCTCTGTTCTTTTTATCCGAACATATTTCGGAAAAAAAGTTTATTCAATAAAAATCATTAAGTAATTGAAATGAGTAGCGGAGTTCTTATTTAAATTCTAAAGTTTTTTTAAACTTTAATTTTTATGAATTGCATCTCATTACTTTTTTAAATCTCTCACGCTGTCAAACGGCAAGTGAAACTCATTATGTTATCATTGCAAGTCATTTCCATGACATTTTCTACCCAAAACGAAAAATAAACAAAAACCGAACCGAAAAACAATAAGCCAACAATTTTATGAAATGAGAAGCGGCTAGAAGTCCAAACGTGGAAAATGAGGGGGTCGAAAGGTGTGGGCGTCATGGAAAACATGTAAAGCCAAAGAGCCAGGGGAGCTTTTCTATATGAAGTTACCCGAAAACATGTAAATTAAGCATCCGGGGGTGGAGGTGCAAAAGTGTTGGAGGGCGCGGATGAGCGGGAAAGACCTTGCATTACAATTGAGTTACGTTTCAGTTATGTTGCCTTTATTGCCATGGCTAGTGCGAAAAAGGGGAGTTCTGGGGGGTTCTTAAAGGGGGGTGAACAGTTTGGAGTTGTTTGTAGGAGAACCATGTTCATATTGTGCGAAACAATGAATTTATATTCGTACTCCTCGTTGCCCAGTTTTTTTATGTGTTGAGTTATGTTTCTGCTTTTACATAAACATCAAGCAAAAAAAGCAAAAAAGGGGCTTTGGTCTGAAAAATATAGGAAATGTGGGTGGAAAACTAGCGAAAGAGGCTAGTAACTGCAGTTGGGGCAGAAGAATGAAATACTGGAGTTGGGTCACTCACAGCCAGCTTAACACATTTGACTCGTTTCGCCTCGCTCCCTTCTTTCGCCACCCATGGAACCGCCCGTACCACCCACTCAACATCAACATCATCCCGAACACCACCCACTCCTACCCTCCTACCCACTAACCCCCAGGCTACAGATTAAACTGTGCTTGTAATGAGAATTTCTGTTCTCCACCTCGCTGATGATGATGGTGCTGATGAGGAGGCTGCTCATTCTGGGTGGCCTTTGGGGTGGTGCTGCATGTGTGGGCTCAGCGGCTGGGGGTAAAAACATTGCATTGAGCCTCTGGCAATTTGCATTAAAGTCAGCTCTTTTTCCTGCCACCGCGTTTCCACCTCAACGTCTTTTGTCGTGCGAAATGAGTGTGTGCAAAGGTATCAGGTCAGAGCTTGGATTTTATGTCACTCTCAAAAGAAGAAAAAATGTAATATAGAGTGGTTTTTATACCCTTCTCAGGACAACATTTGCACTGAAGAGAAAGCTGTATGTAGTTTGGAGGGAAGTAGTCACCCAAACGGTTTGCAAATTAAACACTCATAAAAATCGCAAGAAAGTAATAGATATCCTTACTAAAATTATAAAAATTATAACTATAATAACTATGTATAATTAATTTAACTTGGGATCGATTATATTATATTATAGTTTTTTTTGCAATATTATAATCTAGTTACTCCATTTCGATTTATATTTAATAATTATATTATTTATTAAAACAAGAATTGAAGTATTACTTTTATCCCACAAAGAGCTTTACATATTTTCTACCAGATCGTACAATTTTTATATAAATCAGACGCAGTTTTTCTTACAGTGCAGCACATTTGAAACAAAAGTTTGCTGATTCAGTGCAACATGTTGCGGTCGGCTGCGTGCAATTGGGATTCGAGTGAGCATAAATTAAAAAGAGACGTCGTCCTCCGCCGAAGAGAGCTTATGAGTTGTCCTTGCCGGTGCACCCTTAACACCGCCCACTTTACCGCTCAGTATCCGCCCCCCTTAACCCCCC